TGTTAAAATGTTCATACTACCCAAAGTAATCTACACATTTAATGCAATCCATATCAAAATACCAACAGCATTTTTCACAGAACTAGAACAAACAATCCTAAAATTTGTATAGAACCACAAAAGACCTCAAATAGCCAAAGCAAACTTGAATAAGAAAACCAAAGCTGGAGACATCACAATTCCAGACTGCCAAGTTATATTAACAAAGCAGTAGTGATCAAAAACAGTATGGTACTGATACAAAAACAGACATATATATTAATGGAACAGAATAGAAAACCAAGAAATAAACATATAATTATATGGTCAATTAATCTTCATCAAAGCAGGAAAGAATATCCAATAGGAAAAAGACTGTCTTTTCAGCAAATGGTATTGGGAAAGCTGGACAGCTGCATGCAAAAAATGAAACCAGACCACTTTCTTACAACATACACAAAATTAAATTCAAAATGGATTATAGATCTAAATGTGGGACCTGAAACAATAAAAATGCTAGAGAAGAGCAATTGGCAGTAATTTCTCTGGCACTGGCTATAGCAATTTTTTTCTAGGTAGATCCTCTGCAGCAAAGGAAACAAAAGCAAAAATGAACTACTGGAACTATATGAAAATAAAAAGCTTCTGCACAGTTAAGTAAACAATAAAACTAAAAGGCAACTTAGGGAATGGAAGAAAGTATTTATAAATGACCTACCAAAAAGGATTAGTATCCAAAATACATTAAAAGTTTATAAATCTCAATACCCAAAAGAAACAATTTCATTTAAAAGTGGGCAGAAAATATGAATATACATTTCTCCAAAGACATGGAGATGGCCAATAGACACATGAAAGATGCTCATCATCACTTATCATCAGGGGAATGCAAATCAAAACTACAATGAGATATCACCTCACACCTGTCAGAATGACTAAACTTAAAAAATAAGAGATAACAAGTGTTGGTGAGGATGTAGAGAAAAAGGAATTTTCTTGCACTGTTGGTAGGAAGGCAAACTGGTGTGGCCACTGTGGAAAACTTACAGAGGTTCATCATAAAGTTAACAGACTACCCTGCAATCCCCCAATTACACTACTGGGTATTTATCCAAAGGATACAAAACTACTAATTCAAAGAGACAGATGTATCCCTATGTTTATAGGAACATTATTTACAATAGGCAAGATATGGAGGCAGCTGAAGTGTCCTTTGAATGATGAATGGAAAAAGAAAGATGTGTATGTGTGTGCATGTATGTGTATGTGTGTAGAGACTTGCATGCACATATACATACAATGGAATATTATTCAGCCATAAAAAAGAATGAAATCTTGCCATCTCCAACAACATAAATGGGGCTAGAGATTATAATGCTAAGTGAAAGAGAGAAAGAAACACCATGATTTCACTTATCTGTGGAATTTAAGAAACAAAACAAATGAGCAAAGGGAAAAAAAGAATGACAAACCAAGAAACATTCTTAACTATAGAGAACAAATTGATGGTTATCAGAGGAGAGGTGGGTGGGGGGATGGTGAAATAGGTGATGGGGATTAAGGAGTGCACTTGTCATGATGAGCACCAGGTGATTAAAATACACACAGAAAAATGTTTAAGTCATAGTGAGGCTTTTATAAGTTACACACAGTAAAATGTCCAGAAAAACAGAAATGTCCTTGTCCAATTTAGGTGAGCATTGGAAATATTAAGGTATTACAGACCCAAGGCTGAGGTTAAGCAATTAAACAGGACTCTACATCTCTTTCAGTAATTAGATTTCTGTACATAGACATCTTTAGTTATTAATCACATTATTCTTGCCAACAAAGAACTTTCTTGGCTTTTTGGTATACAAATTTAAAAAAAGAAAGAAAACAAATACGATGCATCTCATTCTGTTGTGTATGGATATAAACATGAATTGATATAAATGAGAGAACAGTGCACTAAAATTGTACCTAAAGTAATTCTACACAGCACTGTTTTACACTGCTGTATGTTTCTTAGATTACACTTCTGTGTATTTCAAGTACTATGTATGAATCCACTTGGAAAAGACAGCTAATGGAGCCCTTCTATGAGAGAGGTATTCTTGTATAGATTTTAAAGATGAGGAAACTGAGGCTCAGAAACTTGGCCAATGCAGAAGTGGCATACGGACTGGAATGCAAGTCAGCCTGACAGCCAAGTCCATTTTGTTTTCATCAAGTTTCTCTCATTTAGTACACTTTATTTGCATTTTGTTATTAATCCAATGTTGTCCATATAGCATCTTCATTACTTTGTCATCTCAATCAAAATCTTTTAAGAATTACTATTTCCATGTCAAATCTAAACTCCTCTGCTGGCTTCTCACGCCCTCTCATACAAGGCACAGTTGCATTACTCAATCATGCTTCCTATTCTCTAGTCATTCCCATCACATGATCCAATTCAAATATAAAACTTGTTGAAGGGTAGGCACAATCCTACTTTAGGTACTCAAAATACTTTTTTTTAAGTATTTTTAAAATTTTATTTTTGAGAGACAGACAGACAGACAAAGAGACACAGAATACAAAGTAGGCTCCAGGCTCTGAACTGTCAGCCCAGAGGCCGATGTGGGGCTTGAACCCATGAACCGTGAGATCATATCCTGAGCCAAAGTTGGGTGCAAAGTTGGGCCTGAGCCATCCAGGCGTCCTTCAAAATATTTGTTAATGATAAAGCTTAGTTTGAGTCAGAGAACCTACCTGAAATAAAACATTGGAAGTTACAACTATGAGAATGCTTTGAGACATTTTCATGAAATGTATGATATTGATGTCAGCTATCATTACAAAGATGTAGTTTAAAATTTAAAAATATGTATGATGGGGAAAAATGTCCATCAATATTTACTGAAGTCTCACGAAGTAGCAAAATAATTATTCTCTTTGACTTATAGTCCTAAGCATGAAAACGTCTCATGCTAATTATGGTACTTCTCTTAAAAGTCTTGTTGCTTCTAGTGGCCTAGGCTTATTTTGTTGTACAAGGCTCTTTTTATTCTGTTCTTAATCTGGCACTCAGGTCAAATATTTTACCACTTCCTGTACTCCTGGCCACAACGAACTTTTTAAAAAAATGTTTGTTTATTTTTGAGAAACAGAGTGCGAGTGGGACAGGGAGAGAGGGAGACACAGGATCCGAAGCAGGTTCCAGGCTCTGAGCTGTCAGCACAGGGCCCAAAGTGGGGCTCCAATGCACAGACCACGAGATCATGACCTCAGCCCAAGTCGGACGCTTAGGCGACTGAACCACCCAGGTGCCCAATCCACAATAAGCTTTTTAACCATTACTTCCACACTATGTGGAATGGCCTAAATTTCTGTCCCCCCTAATTCATGTGTTGATTTCAACATGGGCCCAATGTGATGATACTATGAGATGAGGCCTCTGGGAGGCGATTATGTCAAAAGAGTGGAATAGGAGTAACCACGAATGGGAGTAGTGTTTTTATAGTAGACCCCAGAGAGAATCCTTCTCCCTTCTGCCATGTGTGGACACAGTGAGATGATGAACATCTATGAACTGGGAAGAGGGACTAACCAGATACTGAAGTGCCAGTACCTTGATCTTGGTCCATCCTCCAGAAATGTGAGAAATAAATGTTTGTTGTTTAAGCCAGTCTACGGTATTTTTGTTATAGTAGCCTGAACAAACTAAGATACTATGTTAGCCCCTTTCTGAACTCTCTGTACTTTTTTCCATACTATTCTAATTTTCTAGTCTGTTTTCCTTTTTTCTAAAAAAATTTTTTAAATGTTTTATTTATTTCTGAGAGAGAGAGAGAGAGAGACAGTGTGAGCAGGGGAGGGTCAGAGAGAGGGAGACACAGAATCTGAAGCAGGCTCCAGGCTCTGAGCTGTCAGCAGAGCCTGACACAGGGCTTGAACCCAGGAACCCTGAGATCATGCATGACCTGAGCTGAAGTCTGATGCTTAACCCACTGAGCCACCCAGGCACCCCTCTAGTCTGTTTTCTTATGCTAATTTTTTTTTTTTTTTTGCCTGGTAAGCTCCTACTCATTCTTTAAGACCCTCTGAGAAGTCTTCAGGGTTTGTTTGTTTTTTTTAAAGCAAAGTAATTGTTACCATCTGCTATATAATAATTTTCCCAAATAGATAGTAAGCTGTGGGACCTCAGGGACACTGTCTTAAATATTCTTCCTATTCTCAGCATCTGGCTCACAGAGAGAGCTTAATGAATGCCGAATGAAGAGTATCTTGATAGTCTGTGAGAAACACAGTTGTTTTCCCAACTAAATACAGCCATTTAAAATTTTTCTGTAGCCATAATATGATAGTGAGCAATACTGAGGTGATCCTGACAATTTTAAGGCCTACCTAAGTATTTTCTGAATTAAATAAATATCCAAATGATCCATAACTGCTTAGAAAGAACTTAAAACAAAAAACTTTTGATAGAGAGAGACAGAGGTAGAGCACATGTAAGGAAGGCCAGAGAGAGAGAGAAGGAGACACAGAATCTGAAGCAGGCTCCAGGCTCTAAGGGGTCAGCACAGAGACTGATGCAGGGCTTGATCCCACAAGTTGTGAGATCATGACTTGAGCTGAAGTCAGACGCTCAACTGGCTGAACCACCCAGGCTCCCCTACAAAGAACTTTTAAAATATCTTTCTATAATTCTATGTGCTTATCAAAATTTCTACATTTTACTTTTATCTAGAGAGAGCTGAATGTTGAGAAAGCAATTTACAGAGCAGAAGCAACTTAGAGCAACTGATCAAAGAGAAAAATAGGCAAACAGAACAACAGACTTTTAAACATAGAGAACAAACTGGTAGTTACCAGAGGACCAGGGAATGGGTGCAATAGGTAAAGGGGGTTAAGAGTACACTTCTGGTGATGAGCACTCAGTAAGTATAGAATTGCTGAATCACTATATTGTAACCTGAAACTAACATTACTATGTATGTTAATTATACTGGAATTAAAAAATAATTGTATTTAAAATAAAAGCAGAAGTAACTTACTTTATTTCGATCTTGTACAACCAATATTTTTCTAGTATTTTCATCAAATACAGCTCCTGTTTGGGGAAAAATAAAAGATAACTGAGAAATATTAATTTCACTCACCTTAGACTCCTCCCACATTCTTACCTGTGGTAAGTGTTCATCAAAACTGTACCCATCCTGCAAGGCCTTGTTCAATTACCACCTCATCAATGAACACTTGTAAAATCTCTCCAGCAAAATGATTGCTCAGTTATTCAGGTTCTTTTAACAACTTGGAATACCAATGATAGATCTAGCATATGCTGAGTGGTAAGATAATTATTTGCATAACCTTCTTCTCTTTTCCTTTTTAAAAAAAAATTTTTTTTAATGTTTATTTTTGAGAGAGAGAGAGAGAGAGACAGAGACAGAGAGAGTCACAGACACTGACACAGAATGTGAACAGGGGAGGGGCAGAGAGAGAGAGACACAGATTCTGAAGCAGGCTCCAGGCTTTGAGCTGTCAGCACAGAGCCCAATGTGGGGCTCGAACTCACAAGCTGTGAGATCATGTCCTGAGCTGAAGTCGACACTTAACCGACTGAGCCACCAGGTGCCCCAGCTTCTTCTCTTTTCAATATCTATTCCTGATGGTACAGTTACAAAATTATTCTATTCTTCTGTATGTCTAACCTTAAGTGCTTACATGTATCGTGCTCCTGATGACCTAAATCTCAAATATCTCAATATTCAATTCAAGATCTCCCTGAAGCCACTTTTTTTTTACATTTAAAAATTTTTATTTATTTATTAAATGTTTTATTTATTTCTAGGAGAGAGAGAGAGAGCGTGAGCAGGGGAGGGTCAGAGAGAGAGGGAGTCACAGACTGAAACAGGCTCCAGGCTCTGAGCTGGCAGTCAGCACAGAGCCTGACACGGGGCTCGAACCCACAAACCGCGAGATCATGCCCTAAGCGAAAGTCGGACGCTTAACCGACTAAGCCATCCAGGCGCCCCTTTATTTGTTTTTAAAATTCTAAGCAGGCTCCAGGCTCTGAGCTGGCAGTCAGCACAGAGCCTGACACGGGGCTCGAACCCACAAACCGCGAGATCATGCCCTAAGCGAAAGTCGGACGCTTAACCGACTAAGCCATCCAGGCGCCCCTTTATTTGTTTTTAAAATTCTTTTAATTTTTATTTATTTTTGAGAGAGAGAGACAGAAAGAGATGAGCAGGGGAGGAGCAGAGAGAGGCAGAGACACAGAATCTGAAGCAGGCTCCAGGCTCCAGACTGTGAGCAAAGAGGCCGATGCAGGGCTCAAACTCATGGACTGCAAGATTATGACCTGAGCCGAAGTCTGATGCTCAAATTACTGAGCCATCCAGGCACCCCATTTTTTACATTTTAAAAAAATGTTTATTTATATTTGAGAGAGAGAGGTGGAGTGCAAGCAGGGGAGGGGCAAAAAGAGGGAGAGACCAAAAAATTTGAAGCTCGTTCCAGGCTCTGAGCTGCTTAGCACAGATGCTGACTTGGGGCTTGAACTTGTGAACCACGAGATCATGAACTGAGCTGAAGTTGGATGTTTAACTAACTGAGTCACCCAGGCACCCCAGCGCCTGTGTATATGACTTTATAACATATCAATATATCGCTTTGGGATATTTCTTTATTTTATGTATGTTTTAAGTTCTAGTCCTTTTCTTTATTCATTCATCATACACACTGCCATGCACACTGGGCACTAGGGACTCAAAAATAAGGTTTGTTTGTTTATTTCTCTTTGGGCAATCCTGGGTCAAAAATACAAATGACACCATAATGATCTGTGTTAACTTCCTTTAAATGTTGTAATTTAAAAATATTTGGGGGCACCTGGGTGGCTTAGTTGGTTAACTGTCCGACTTCAGCTAGGTCATGATCTCACCTCTTGTGGGTTTGAGCTGTGTTGGGCTCTGTGCTGACAGCTTGGAGCCTGGAGCCTGTTTCAGATTCCGTGTCTCCCGCTGTCTCTGTCCTTTCCCCAGTTTTGTTCTGTCTCTCAAAAATGAATAAATTAAAAAAAAATCTGTGTTTACACAGATCTGTAGAATGTTATTAAAAAGATACTTTATACTCTTCCATTCTTTCAATATCAATTGAATTCCTATACCTAATATATATGGGTTCTCTATATGTTGAGCCCTGTTATGTGTCAGGCATTTTTCTAGGTGCTAGAGATAGTGTAAACAAAACAAAATTCCCTATCCTTGATGGGCTCACATTCTGGTGTGTGTGAGGAGGTAGCAAGTAAATAAAAAACAAATTATATAGACCATGAGGTGATAAATGCTATGTTGCAATAAAATATAGAAGAGGATAGGTATGTTTAATATAAGGACAAATTTCTCTGAAATGAAAACACCACATTTTAGTGTTTAAAAGAAGAAAAACCACTAATTAATATTAATGTTGGTTTCTATTAGAAAATATAAATTATAATTTAACTGGACTTTACAAGGGTTAGAATACCAAAGAAATGGCAAGTTAACCTACTCTTAAATTTTAATAATTTGTGATTACTCAAAGTGTACTTTTCCCTAATGAATTATAAACATAAGCACAGTATTTCAAAGACAAAACTAGCACTGCTAAAGCACAATGTGAGCGGCCCCTGCTGGTCACAATTTAAAAGTTAAATAGAAAGATTAGGGATTAAGTAGAGGTTATCAGATTATGATTAGTCAGGTACTGTGCTAAAGCTTTACGTGCATTTTCTCAGGTATTACAATAATTCTGTGAGTGATATTATTTTGAGTGCCCAGGTTCACACAGCCCTAAAACTGTCTGTCTAGATTCTGAGTTGGTATTCTTCTCACTGTGCAACAATGTCCCTTCCCCATACAATTGTGTTCTCTGGGGTCTCATGTTTCCACTTGAAGGGCTATCCACTTATCCATTCAAGAAATATTTATTGAGCATGAACTTTATGCCAGACACTGTTTTGATCCTGACAATACAGTGGCAGAAAAGACAAAATATCTGCCTTCATGGAGTGAGTTTATATTATTGTGGGGGAAATGAAGTACATGATACGATTTCAAAGATTTCAAATTGTGTTAAGTGCTATAGAGAAAAATGGACTTGGATAAAGGGATCAAGGATGATGAGATTAGCATGCAGGAGGACTCTATTTTAGACAGGAAGGTCAGAGGTTTTTTGAGAAGTAGCTGGAACAGAAACTTGCTCCAAAGAGATAAACAAAGCCCTGGGGGAAAATTACTGCAGGAAGAGGAGCCAGTGTGAAAGCTTTGAGGCAGAGACAGCTTGCTGTGATTTAAGGACAGTAACAAAGCTGTAGGTCACTCTGTTTCAATGTAGGGAAGGAAAGATTACTCCTCTAACCACTTAGGTTTTGTGTCTAGGGCTGAGAACTGAACTCACAGAAGACATATTAATGGAGAAAAAAATATAAACATTTTATTTGATGTTTACTACTTGACCTGGGGTGGTGATGGAGGACTTGATAAAAAGAAGTGAAAACCCCAAAAAAGTGGTTAGACCCAAAGGCATATATACCATTTGAACAAACAGCAATAAATTATGGGGATATGACAAGACCACAGAAAAAAGGATTTGTGCTAAGGGAGGTAAACTGGGAAAATGACTACAACACATATGGGGAAACTAATGGGAATACGTTATTTTAGTAAGGTTTGTTTGTACAGATTCATCTTGGTGTCAACTCCCTATTTTCCATGATAAGAATGTCTCCTTTTCTTGGTATGAGAAATTTATGGTCTTTTAGGTAGAAAGGGGGAGGCAGAAGACCCTTCCTATATCTAGTGCTTAAATAATCTAGTGCTTAAATAAAATAAGGTGGCACATTATGGGGTGTTATGTTCACCAGCCGCACCTTCCTTCTGTTGTTTCTACCAATAAATGTCAACTATTTCTCCTTTACCTAAAAAACACTGTCCCTTTCCAGAACAATTTCTTACATGATTTCATCACCACCCCCAATATCCACTTCATATCATAGATCATAGTTACTCTTCAAGTAACTGCTGCTGAAGTTCTTGATCTCACTGCCTGAACTCCTATAGTATATCTTAAGTATAGTATTTAGTTATAAACAAGGGCTTTAGAGGATACTCTTTATGCATATATTACCAATTCTGTGAGATCGTGATAGCTGTGAGATTGTGACCTGAACTGAAGTTGAACACTCAACTGACTGAGCCACCCAGGTGACCCTAGAAATCTAGGAATTTTCTTAACCCTGGTTCCCAAAGGATGGTCCAGGGACCAGCACTGACATCGATAGCAGCTGCAGAGAATTTCTTAGAAATGCAAATTCTCTGGCAACACCCCACAAGAACTATACCAAAAACTCTTGGTGTGGGGTTCTGCGGTGTGTCTTCAGCAAGCCCTCCAGTTGATTCTGATGCACCTACAATTAATTGAAAGCAAATCTTCTCTCAAGACTAGGTCTCTGAAGTTAATCAGTGACTTGACAATTCCATAATATACTTAAAATTATGCTATTTTAAACAACTGTTTGGCACTGTAACTTAATGTAAATATCTTTAAATAATGTTCAAATCATCAAACGTCTGCTTTGCTTTACCTTAAATTTAACCTAAAAGTTACCTTTTATTTCATACATTCATTTAATCAGTACTAATATGTTTTACTGTAATGAATTTATTCCCTGCTCTAAATTCAGTTTCAGTGGTGAAGTTCAAATATCTGTGTAAAAATGTTCAAATGTATCCTCTGGAAAACTTCACACCAAACTTGCTCTCTGTGCTGCCCTCTGCCAATTCATAAGGCAAACTTCATCTATTTAAAGCACTACTCAATAGTACGAAAGAGGATAATCACTTAATCAAGTTACTCATTACACATGAATAAACTATTGCTTAGCTGTAAGAAAAAATATGGAGTGAACCTCTAAAAGGTCTGAAACTGACCTGCAACTCCTACTTGATGTGTAGCATATCCTGGTAATCTGCTGGGTCCTTCTCCCAGCCACAGCGTCAGCGTGGATGAATCTGACTCCGCATGGTGAAAGCAGAAACCCAGGGAAGCAGCAGGGGCAATAAATCGGCTTTGGAGGATGGGAATGTGCAGCCATACTGCTATCCTGCCTTCTGATCTCCACTGTGGTATTGCAGCTACAATGCAGATGATAAAAATCTTTAAGTATTTTCCAGTGAAAGGAGCAGGAGAAATAAAAACTCATCTCAGGGTGTCACCTCTTCCAAAAAGCCATCTTAAGACATCCACTTCACCTCGTAGTTAACTGGCGGAATGGGGGGAGGGCATCCCAAAATGTAACAACTCACACAATGCTCGGCACATTGTTTCCATTTTGATGTTGTTCCTTTTAACATCTTTAATCTTTATAAATGAACATTATGGGCTTCTATTTATTCTTTCTTTAACAGTTCTGTCATAATATTTTTGGCTTATAATTTCAAGTGGTTAAAACTTTTTGTTTTTAAATAATGAATACTAGTTCTGGGAAAATTTGAAAATAAAATCTAATGAAATCAAAACTTCATTATCTTAATAGCATGCAGAGATAAACACTGGAATTGACATATCATATAAAATTTACAGCATGTCTTTACAACATATAATGTAAACATTTTGCTATGTCATTAAAATTTTTAATGAACATAAATTTTTAACGACCACATAATTTTCCTCAAATAGGTGTACCAAAAGCTCCTTAACCAACCTCCTACTCTTGGACTCTTAGATTATTTCTAATTCTTATTATCAGTAATACCAAGATGAACATAGATTTTTCTGTTTTTGAATTCTGTAAATTCTCTTACTTTATTACTTAAGATTGAGTCAGGAAAAAGATGCTAACATTTGGTCCTTACTAAGTTCTAGACACTTACATATCTCATTAAGTTTTCACAACCCTGAAAGGCAAGTATTATTGACCTTAATTTATGAGTGAAGAATACTGCAGTTTTTAAAAAATGTTTATTTCAGAGAGAGCGCGCGAGCAAGCAAGCGAGTGCATGCGTAAGCAGGGGACGGGCAGAGAGAGGAGAGGGGCAGGAAGAGACAGGGAGAGAATCCCAAGGAGGCTCCATGCTGTCAGAGCAGAGCCCAACACCAGGCTTGATTTCACCAACTGTGAGATCACGATCTGAGCCAAAACCAAGACGCTTAACCTACTGAGCACCCAGTCCAGCACCACTCCCCCCACCCTGCTCCTTTATTATTATTAAGAATACTGCAGTTTTAGAAAAACTGTCAAATCACTTTCTCCACTCATCATCTCACTTAATCTTCACAATAATCTTACAAAGTGTGTGTGTGGTAGTGGGAAGGTTTGATTATTTAACAGTTAAATTCCTTTCCCTCTTCACTTCTCCAGCTGTGCAGTAAGTGACTGTTAAAGACTATGTTCTCTACCTCTTTAAAAGTCAATGTACCTAACAAGGTGACAAACACCTGGGAGCCTTTTATAAAGACTTCTTGATTTGGCGTATGGAGTCAGATCCTTCTCACCTCCCTCTTTCTCTGATTAAATATTTTTAAAATTGACACACAATTATAAAAAGTGAAGTGCACAAATCTTAAGCATACATTTAGTGAGTTCTGACATATGCATACACCTGTAACTTGCTCCAATAAAGATTATAGGATGTTTCCCTCATTCCAGAAAGTTCCCATAGCCTCCCCAATGATTCCAATCAAGTAAAAAAGCTCAAGATTGACACAGTAACAACAGAATTTGCACTAACTCTTAGAGACAACATTATGCATTAGGAACAGGTTCCAGAGCCTAGGGAAGTTACTTAATTTCTGTGCCTCAGTACCATCACCTTTAAAATAGAGGTAAACGTATCTACCTCACAGAATTGTTATGAGGATTAAATAAATATTTAAGTTCTTAAAACAGTGTCTAGCAATATAATTCATAAATACAATAGAATGTTTTCTTAAAAACTGTACGGTATATGGTACTACACAGATTATTAGTTTCATAGAACGTATCTTAGATCACTACATCTATCCAGTAATTAGGGCTGGCATTATTCACATAAGCAACCTAAGAGGCAACTATTTTCACTGGTGGTTTGTCTAATGCCTGGGTAAGCACCTGGCAGAACCTGGGACTTGAAGCCCAGATGTGTGACTCCAAACCCAGCCCTTCTGTTTTGCCTTATTGGCTAAGGTAGTGCTTTAACCACCTGGCCACTGACAAGTGACAAGTGTGGGCAAAAAATGCCTGTTTCTACCCACACATTTGTAGACATATTAGAGGACGAACACTGATTTGGTTCTCCTACTGCTATTGTTGAAATCAGCAATTATTCACGAATACAGAAATGAGGTGAAGAGGTAAGTAGTTTGGGAATGAGAATAATTAAAGAATGAAATAACTAGCTCAATTATACTAACACAGATGCCCACTTGCCATGTTGGGCAATCGGGTGAAGATTATCTAAAGTTTCCTTTTGGAGTGAGAGCATCTTTCAATGGCAGAAGTTCCATGCTAGGCCTTCATTTCGTATATAAGGACCGTCATGGGCAGTTTGAAAAACTCCAACCAAATCACGGGCTTCTCTCAGAACGAAGGCTCCTCCATCCAAGCTTTCTTTCCCATCTTTGGACTTGAGGTTCAAGAAGAGTGAAGGGTTTTCTCACTGAAGACTGAAACAGCCCACCATGCTCCCTGGTTAATCATAAAAAACTTGTTGCTGTTTAAGTAGAAGCAAACTAGTTTTTGATGAGTCAGCCTGATCCAATTTGCGTACAAAATTGACCACTTAGAACCTCTCTGGCCCACTCACTGTCCACAACCTGTATAGTTTTGTCTCTGGCAAAGTGCTCCTCATAACTAAAGCTCAGTAAATGACAGTAAATAATAATGAAATAATCTTACCACCTACTGGGCGTTAAGTGTGTGACAGCTCCCGTGCTAAGTACCTTACATACATTACCCAACTTCATCCTCAGCAATCCTGAGCTGCTAACCAATTTTATGGAAGGGGAAACGGTAGTTTACAGAACTTGCCGAAGGTCACACGCTAGAAACTACCAGAAACTAGTGCTGCCGATCCCAAAGTCTGCGATAGTCACCATTTCACCCAAGTGCCTCAGAAATCTCCCAGCAAAGGGCACAAGAACAAGAGTGGAAACTGATACAAGTCACGCGTGCCCTCTGTCTCTAGGGCTCGGTACTTGATCCGCGGAGAGCATGACTGGTGGATGCAGGACCCTGTTACTTCATTAGAAAAGCTCAGGAAGCCGGGGAACCCCTCCGCCCAGGCGCACTTGCCCTGCAAAACCTTCTGGAAAGAGGCGGCGTCCAGGCGGTCCAGTGCGCCAAACCGCTCCAGAGGCACCGAGACGCCCCCAAATCTGTCCAGCTCTGCTCGCAGCACGTCCGCTCCGGCGAGAGCGTCCCACCTGCAACCCGGACCGTCCGAGGCCCGGCGGTGCCCTGCCAAGAGCCTTTCGCCGCGGGTCCGCAGGAACACTGCGTACCAGAAACGCCCGCTCAATAATGGCGGCATCTTCAAGTCCTTGTCCAACAACTCTTTGGGCCCATAAAGTCAACCTTCCGCCTGGTTCTAGAGCTGAGGTCGCTACCGTAAATTTTAGAAGAGTGCCACCCACTTAGCTCAGAGTTGAGTTAATGTTGCCACTTTCTTAGCACTTTACCGAAGAGATCACTAAGTCCTGTCCACCAGGTCCTCTCAGTAATTTGCCTGGTTCTACGAAAGCTGAGGAGAAACTTCTCCACCTGTCTTTAAGTCAGCAGACATTTGTTCAGGAATAGGAAAGGCGGGCAGAGATATAAAAAAAAAATCTTGTCTTTCAGGAATTTGCAATATAAATGACGGTTGTATTCACGTAATCCATCTTCCTTTGTTAAAAGTCAGAACGTCTTCAACTTCTTCAAAGACGGCGAGTTCTGAAAACGCTCGGTTTTCCCTCTCCAATTACGCTCCACTCTGGGGATTACGGTGCAGGGCGGAGCCTCGCTGACTTCTGCCCCGGAAGTTTTTCTTCCACAGGACCGAGCACATTGAGCCGGCTTTGCGGTAGTTTTTTCGCAGGCTGCCTTCTGATCATGTCTTCCAAGAAGAACAGAAAACGGCTGAACCGAAGCGCAGAGAATGGTTCAACCTCACCCTCTTCAGCTTCCTCTTCTTCGGGGCCCTCGGCTCCTTCAGCTGGGCCGGGCACCGCGGCGGCGGCTGGGATCCTGGTGGTGACCAATTTTTTAGAAAAGGGTAAAGAGTTTTGGGTGGGAGACTGGAGGTCGGGGGAGCAACTTGGGAAAGCTTAGACCTAGCGATGCCGATTTTATTTTGCAGAGGCTTCCGAAAACTGATTGAGACCTAGGTGTGAGACTGGCACAGAAGTTTGTAAGATGCCCGAAGCCACGCCTACACTAAATAAGTTAGGCAGAAACAGCTTTTCTGTGGCTAAGTCAAGCCATCTCTTTTGTGAATTGTTTTGAATTTGTAATTTACACTTGAAACAACTTTACCTCGTTTAAGATCAACGACATATTTAATTGCGAAATTGCTTAAAGCTAGCGAGCATAGAGTATATATACAGCAGAAAACTAAATTCCCAGTTCAGTGAAGATGTGGATACATCCTTCCTAAGAGATCGCACTGTGTCTTTAAGAATGAAAGCCTTCAAGGTTTTTTTTCTTCTACTACCCAGGTTCTGGTATTTAATAAGAGCTATTAGTTACCTAGTACTGTTCCCAGTAAGTTGGGTATGTCACATGTTTATCTCATTTAATCTTCACAGAAACTCTGGAAGTTAGTTACAGAGGAAGAATAGTTAACGTGGTTGGCTCCAGGTTCTACAGGTACTAAGTGGCAGGCGGTATTTGTCTCTAAAGCCGCTATCCCAGCCAACAGCTCCCTTGAGTTAAGAGAACGGATTTATCTGAAAAGTTATTTAGTTGGTAAAGCTTCTGTGTTGAAGCTGTGTGTTACAGCTTCGAAAAAATAGATCACCAGCTAAACTAGTGGCAAGATTTTTATTTCTGTTTAATGTTGACCCTAAACACAATCTTAGAATTATCACAGTGTTTCCAGTTTTCTTTAGGGGTCAGATGACAACTTGTTCTGTCCTGCATATTCAACCTCTTTTTTAACCGGATCCTTCCTATGATTGAAATTTAAGGTTGAAATTTAAACCTGCTGATTTCTCTTATGTCTTTTTTTAAAAAAAATTTTTAAATATTTATTTCTAGGGGAGAGAGAGAGAGAGACAGCGTGAGCAGGGGAGGGTCAGAGAGAGAGGGAGTCACAGACTGAAACAGGCTCCAGGCTCTGAGCTGGCAGTCAGCACAGAGCCCGACGCGGGGCTTGAACCCACGAACCGCGAGATCATGACCTAAGCGAAAGTCGGACGCTTAACCGACTAAGCCACCCAGGCGCCCTTGATTTCTCTTATATCTTTAATCAAAATAAAAGTTCTACGTTTTTTTCTTATCACCACCCTCTCTGTCCATTCTTTAATTGCCAGATTTCTTCTTTCTTTTAAAGATGTGCTTTTTAAAAAACGTTTATTTATTTTTGAGATAAAGAGTGTGGGTGGGGAACCGGCAGAAAGAGAGGGATAGAGAGAATCACAAGCAGGTTATGCACTGTGTGCATAGAGCCCAGGGTGGTGATCGAATCCACCAACTGTGAGATCATGATCTGAGCTGAAATCGAGAGCTGGATGCTTAGCTGACTGAGCCACCCAGGTTCCCCATAAGATTTGGTTTTTAAGTAATCCCTTCACCCAACATGGAACTGTATTTTACGTGCAGAGATTAAGAGTTGCGTGCTATACTAACTGAGCCAGCCAAGTGCCCCTCATGGCCAAATTTCTTTAAAAAAAAAATTTTTTTTTTTTAGCATTTGTTCATTTTTTTTTTTTTTGAGAGATAGAGAATGAGTGGGGAGAGGCAGAGAGAGAGGGAGACATGGAATCTGAAACAGTCTCTGAGCTGTCAGCACAGAGCCCGATGTGGGGCTCGAACCCACAAACCGTGAGATCATCACCTGAGCTGAAGTCGGGCTCTTAACCGACTGAGCCACCCAGACGCCCCCCAAATTTCTTAAATGTAGTGGTCTCTGTCTCCTCATCTCTCACCTCCTCCTTAGCCTATTTCTATTTTGTTATCCATTCCATCATTCCATGGAAACTGTCCCTGCCGTGGTCACTGATTATCACCATGTTGGTAAATACAATGGACAGTTTTTCATTACTTCCCTTACTTGACCTCTCAGCAACTTTTGGTGTTGTCTACCATTTCCTTTTTCTTAAAACATTTTAAATTTTGACTTCTGTGTCATTAAATGTTTCCAGTTTTTTTTTTAATCTGTCCTTTTGTTGGTATGTAGTTTTTCATTTTCCTTTGCAGGCTAATCTTCTTTTACTTGGCTGCCAAATGTCTCAGTTCCTCAATTCTTAGTCCTGAAGCCCTTTTTTTTTTCCCCCCTCTGTACAAATCTTTCTTTGTCAAGTTCATCCAGTGTCCGTGGTTTTCCATCTATACCCTCACCTCATCATTTTTGTATATATGTTTGTAATTTATAGTACTTCTGAGGCTCGGTTCAGTTGTCTTCTACACCAATACTAAAACTTTGTAGGGAAATTTTTAAAATATGTTATGTCATAGCTTAGTGCTGTTGTAAATACAATGAAAAGAAATTACTAGAAAATTAACTTTAACAATAGAGATTTTTATTAGATTCAACAGATGTATGATTACTCTGTCCAATTGTAATAAAAACTTCTAAGTAAACCCTTAATGTCTGTACTCATCCCATCATAAATTGGTAACAAATAGTTTGCTGACCATACTTTGTGTAGCATTGTGCTATATATACCTCTTCTCTTGGATTTTCCAAAGGTACTTAAAGACTGACCTCATACACTCCTATATTCACAATAAAACCAACTCCAGGACCTGTTCAGTGTTTCCATTGCAAAATTCAGAAACCTAGGGGTCATCCATGGCATCTCACATCACCAGTCACTACCAAGGTCTGTTTATCACCTAATTCCTCTTCCTTATTCCTGCGGTTTGCACCTTAATCTCAAACACCATCATCTCCCACTTGGACTACTACACTATTCTCTCCCCATTTTGTTTCCCCACTGTGCAGCCAGAGTGATCTTTAAAATTGAACATCTTGTCATGAGCCTGCTTTTCACCCTTAAGTGATCTTTGGTTGCTGTCAGGAGCCCAGCAGCTTGATAACAGCTTACTGCCCCTGGAGGTCTTGATTTTTCTTATGTGGCCCCTTCTTGTTTCCTGCCATTCTGCATGTACTCAGATATATAATTCTCCCTTCTGTCCAGTGGTTCTCTGTACAAGCTGTTCTCTTTGCCAGGAATTCTCTCTTCCCTCTTCATTTAGTTAATTCCTGTTCTTCCTTCAGATCTGAATTTCAACATTACTTCCTTGGAGAAGCATTCTCTGGTTCTTCCCAGTTAGATTCCACTTTATAGGCTCTCCTGGCCTTCCTGGTCATTCTTTCATTGTATTAATCTTTGTGTACAATTACAGAGTTATTCAGTGATTGTTTAATAACTCTCTCGTCCTATTAGATTATAAGCTCTGTGAGGCCAAGGACCGTCTGTTTTGTTTACTTGCATTCCTAGTGCCAAACATATTATATGCCGTGTTGTAGGTACTTAGCAAATGCTTGCCTAGAGGACAAATGAAGAGTGGATGGTTGTTTGAAATGACCTTCACTATCTCGTTAGTTAATTTGGCACATAAAGTGCTTAATAAATGTATACTTAATAGGGAAAGTAGATGTTGAGGTATATTTTATTTTATTTTTTTTTTGAGGTATATTTTAAAAATACAGTATTAGAGGAATGAGGACTGTAAGAGATGTATTAAGAAATAAAGCCCGTGAGTGAGAATTTGAACATGATCTTCATTGGCGGCAGGGAGGAAGTAGAGTATTTAGACAAGCCTGTGATTTGTTAAATCCTGGTGCATGGTGAATGTGCAGGATAGGATGGAAGGAAGAAGAAAACCTAGAATCTTGCAAAAGACTGGATACACCTGGGAGGTAATTTTCAAGAGGGAAAGGTAATTTATTGAGGTTTAGAAAGAAAGAAGTGACAGAAAAGTGAACATTATTGTGTCTTCAGAAGAATGCTTTGGTGTTATTAAGTAAACTATGTAAGAGACCTAATACTCATAGGAAAGTTGAATTTCTTTTCAGCCTTATATTACGAAATATGCTTATTTTATAAATGTTCAGTACTATTAATCTTAGCTCTGTGAGATGCTTTGTTTTTCTCAGCTGATAACAGAAAATAAATACGTTGTGTAGTTATTTTGTAGTAGCAAAAAATAATTAAATATACTTCATGATTTTGTTTTTATTGACTTAGTTCCTTTTAAACTCAAAATATCTTTTTTTATTATTAAGGAACACCAATATTAGAGAGCTATGATTGTGGTGTATGTCTAATAATAAATTTTATAACAAAGTTTGTGACAGCCTAACATTTCATAAGTGTTTCATTGATTTTGTGCTGAAAAGTAAAATGCTGTGTAGCCATCTACTATGTTCACTGATATTATGGATATTTATTATGCAACTGCTGTATTTGATGCACTCCTAGGCATTGGAGATACAAAGATGGATTTGACCCAATTGTTGCCAAAGCAGCCCATGGTTTAAGAGAAAGTCAGACTGTAAAACAAATGTATATTATGATGATAAATTCTAGTATCTGGCAGCATAGGGTGCTGAAAGAATTGGAGGAAGGACCAAATGTGTAGTTGAGGAGGTGGCTGGGTGTTAGCACATCATTTTCAGAGGTTGCCAGCTGGGCTGAATTCAGGTCCCCTTCCTTGGCCAAAGTTGAAAATACTAAATGGTCATTTTGGTTAGTGTGTACTTGCCTAAGGAATAAGACCTGTGTTACTATTTTATCCATGTGTTCCTGGGATTAGAAAAGAAAACTCTAATTGCTCTCATGTAGATCAGAAGTGGAATTGTAACTTAACTCTACAGAACCAAAAGCCAGTTCCCCAGCTCAAGCTTTTGAATACTAGTAGTCAACTCAACTTAGAATCTGTAGTCAAAAGGTTGCTATGCAAGTATGAAAAGGCCTGTTGCAGGTATGTTCCGTTCTTAATGAAGTTAGAGATTATTTTTCTTAAAATATGGAAATTAACACCTACCCTATAAGACACTCATATTGTTAGTTAGCACTCATATTGTCAGTCAGTGGACCTTTAGAAAGGTTTGGTTTTAAGTCTTTTCATTAAAATAAAGAGGATTGGAACTGTGGTTTCTCCAGGGTATGGTAAGGGCACTCATTTGGTTATGTGGATAGAAGATTTTTATTTACTCCTAATAGAAAGCAGGCTTTAATTTCAGTAGTTATAAAATAGTACGCAAATAATTTTCTTTCCCTTTTTGGTAGATGACAAAGTTCCTACAACATTACAAAATTCCCTTGTTCAACTTGGACTCAACACTATGAAATCTGCAAATATATGTATAGGTCGACCGGTATTGCTTACCAGTTTGGATGGAAAACAAGAGGTAAGAGTCTTTACTTAGTTTAGAAAGATTTGTGATGTTTTTTATTTTAGTTTTCCACAAAGTAATAAAGAAAAAACTATATATATTTAAATGTTTATTTATTTTTGAGAGGCAGAGCACAAGCAGGGGCGGGGCAGAGAAAGGGGCAGACACAGAATCTGAAGCAGGCTCCAGGCTCTGAGTTGTCCACACAGAGCCTGATGTGGGGCTCGAACCCACGGACCATGAAATCATGACCTGAGCTGAAGTTGGACGCTCAACTGACTGAACCACCCAGGCGCCCCCGAAAACTATATTTTAAATGACCCTCACATCTATATAAACTTGTCCTTCCTTTGATGTCTATGAGTACCCTGGAAAAAGTAGCCTCTAAAATATAGAGACTGGCCTTTTCTCCCAAGGTGGTGACACACACACACTAGCAGCCCTGTCTCCTCCAGTTTGTTAATTATATTTCTTCATAGAAATGTTATTTGGGTGTATGAAAGTCATCTTTTTTATAAACAAATATTTGATTACCTTTCCTGTTTTCAGCTCTTTGTTCTTGTTGCTCTTCATTACATTTGAGGCTCGGAACGTAGGACCTTTCCTGGATCATTTTTGGCAGGTCGACCTTCTTCCCTGCTGCCGGCCTATGTCTCTGTTCTGTCTTCTGCTGCTTCATCAATCAGTGTTCTCTCATCTAGCGGTGTCCTCTGAAAGTGATTTGAAATCAGTTATGTACTGATGGCACACTTCTCATTCTTTTCATTATTCTTAAAGAAAAAAAAAAAGAAAAAAAGTTCTTTACTGTGTCTCGTGGAGACTGCAAATGTGTGAACTCAGCCCACTATCTAGAGCTGGAAATCTTTGCTTCTCTTCCTTAACATTTAAGTCTGGTGAGATCCAGGTTCCCATGAAGCTGATATGCCAGCTCCTTCCCTACTTCCTGGATGAAGTTTATGCTCCAGGCTGGGTTACCTTACAGTTAGCTTGTCTTTAGTATTTTGTCCCATTTTCTTCTTATTATATGTTAATGCTTTAGTGTCTTTTCGTAAATTACCTTTCAGATCTTTTACCATTTTCACTGTGGGATCATTCCTAATCCTTGCAAAAAGATGAAATTAAATATTTATTAAAAGTTTCTTGGGGGCACCTGGGTGGTTCAGTTGGTTGAGCATATGACTTCGGCTCAGGTCATGATCTCACAGCTTGTGAGTTTGAGCCCTGCATTGAGCTCACTGCTGTTAGCGCAGAACCCGCTTTGGATCTTCTGCTCCCTTCTCTCTCTCTCAAAAATAAATAAATCTTGAAGAAAAAAAAAAGCTTTTTGTAACTTTTGTCAGATTGTAAGTCCTTTAGAGGGATGAAGACTGTTTTGCAGATCCATATACTTAGTTGTGCTTAGTTTTCTGCCTTATAAATTAATGATCTATGAATGTTTATTTTCTCATATTTTTATTTCCTGTGTTCTGGGCAGGTCTATACGGCCTGGCCTGTGGCAGGATTTCCTGGAGGCAAGGTTGGCCTGAGTGAAATGGCACAGAAGAATGTGGGTGTGAAGGTTGGTGATGCCATTCAAGTCCAGCCTCTGTTGGGTGCTGTGCTTCACGCTGAGGAAATGGACGTGGCACTCAGGTTTGGTGCTTTTCTTTTGTGACAGTCTGGATCAGTACTGCTCAGTAGAAATAGGACAAGAGTCACAAATGTGAACCACATATATAATTTTGCATTTTCTGGTAGCCCCATTTATGAAGGAAAATGAAGTTGGTGAAATGTTTCATTTAATGTGTAATTTAGTCATTATTTGAATATGAATGATTAATATTTAGTATTAAACCAATTATTGTAAGATTTTATTTTAACTTATAATAACTATAAAAAATTATTAATAAGTCTTGAAAATCCAATGTGCATGTTATACTTGCAGCACATCTCAATTTAGGCTAGCCACATTTAAGCGTTCCATAGCCACTCGTGGTGAGTGGCAAGTGGGTCTACTGTGTTAGTCAGTATAAGCTAGATGACTGCTACATAATGTGTGGACTAGAGGCTCTAGTGCCCTGTGATTAGAGTCTGCCCTGATATATTTGGTGAGAGGAATTATTACTGATGTATATTCAACGGTAGTTTTCATCTTGGTTTGCAGTGTAATCAGAGATGTTGTAAAGGAGGGAGTAGATTACTGTGAATAGGCAGGAAATAAGTTTTAATCAAGACTGTTTAAACAAATTACCTGAGTATTTTAACTCATTGATTATTCAATCTAATAAAACCAGTTATATTTATTAGATTTTGAAATAGTCCCTCATCAAAGACTAATTGTTTGAATCACCTTATCAATATAGCTAAAGTATATCACCCATTGTTTTGGATATTCTGTTTGCATAAGACTATTCTGATAGTCTTAGTTTGCATATTCAAAATTTGTTTTAAAAAAAGTATCTTTTGATACTTTAATACTACCTTATTAACCATTTTGGGGATGTGTTTACTTAATATGCAAGAATCACAAAACATTTTTCAGTCATTAGTTTGATTTCAAAATGTTTTCTTCTCTTTTGATACTTTTGTAGATTTCAGGTTGGAGTATTAGCATATTTTTTTTTCTTATAAACCAGGAAACTTTTTTCAGAGAACTTAATAACATTTTAGGGAACAGTAAAATACAAGGAAGAGGGGAAAAGAGAGCTCAGCATGTGTTGTGCACCAGCTGTGATCTAGCACACACATGTGCATGCACTTTTTCCCTCTTCTCTCATTTAATCCTCTGAACATCCTACCCGTATTTATCCCTTTCTTAAAGATAAGGAAATGGCCTGAGTGAGAAGTAACTTACCCATTATTTTATAGGTTAGGTAGTAGTTGTACACCGATTCAACAGTATTTATCTTGATTTTGAGACAGTGCTGCAGGTTGTGGTCATCAGTTGATTGGATTTTGACGATCTGGCTTGTGTGACCTCTGGAGGGCGCTGTAGTCTTAGGTGATAATGATAGCCTACTATACAGGGACTGTTAAGTGTTAAGTGTTTTAAATGGAAGCTTGGTTTTTACAGTTTTATTTTTAAAAAATCTTGTGTTTTAAATGTGGCAGCAGAGCTTAGACAAGAAACTTAATTTCCAAATAAATCAGTAATTTTAGTCTGCAGATTATATACCCTTCGGTTGCTTTTGAAAAATTTTATTAGTAAGCTTAGAGCTCCTTCTAGTGGAGGTTATTTTATCTGCACCTATTCAGTTTTTAAATGCAAAACTTACTGAATATTTCTACCATTCTTATACACATTTGTGAATATCTTCTATTCAGAGTTTAATAAATAGGAATGATTTAAATATAACTGGTTTCAGAGTTCTATAAACAGAAGTGAATTTAAGCATTTAAGGAGATACAATTTCCTTTGTAGTTTATACATGTATTTAATTTGAAATTTCCTTCGTGTTCTATTTTTTCTCTCTATATGAATACACATATGAGTATGAGTGATTCTCATTATTCGTGCTAAGTATGTTCTATAAAGGTGCTGTGAATACTGCATTAACAATGTATGTATATCTATATTTAATGTTACGTATTTATGTTTAAATACATACTTAACATATGTTATATATAATAGCATATGCTAATGACATTAATATGTTTAGTGCATATTTAGTATAAAAACATATATGTATCTTACATTATAATCTCAAGACAACTCAGTCTGATAGATTTTCGCCTCTTTATTTTATAAAAGAGAAGTGGTTGAGAAGTGTTGAATGACTTGCCTGAGGCCACCTCACTAACAGATACCAAAGTTAGGATTCAGATCTGCAACTGGCCCATGAGCTGAACCGTTTGCTGTACACTGCACAGCCTCCTACCATCTTCGCTCTCCATCCTCTTGTCTCTGAAACAGTTAAAGCAACAGTCCTTTTCCAACCTTAGCTAGGAAAGTGTTTAGTGACTCCGTCGTTTTGCCTGCTCTACACATGTCCATGAATGACTAAAAGCTCTGCTAGTATTGATTTGGGGGTTACAAATAAATTGTAGCAGGTGGGTGAATCTGCAAATAATGAAGTTGACACTATTGGTTTTGTTTGTTGCTCATAAAGTGACTGGAGAACAAGGGTTAGAGTTGGACCAGATGGGTCTGCTAATATACCGCTTCTTGAGCTAAACTATCACTTTTCCACCAATCTCTGGCAGATCTCACAACCGTAGGCCTCCTCTGCTGGAATGGGCTACTTACATGTGGGGAAGAAGGAAAAATGTACCTATTTTGAGAACTGTCCAAGAGTATGTTTCTTCACAAGTATAATGATTTTTAGATGTACCTACTTCTTATACTCAAGCAATCCTCCTGAAAGACAATCATTAGTCAGAAGAAGGGGTTCTCATTTTTCCTTAGGCATGCCCTGTCTCCAGAATAAAATTACGTTACACCATTACTCTCCCTTTTTCTTGTTTCATAAACCTCTTCAGGTAATGTCCTATTAGGACTTAATTTTCCTGAAAGATAATTTCTAAATTATAGAATGGGAGTGAAGTAAGCTATGAGTAAAAGCCTTTCTCCAAGCTAGGCAATTTCAGAAAAGGGACAGTTAATTTAGATCAATGTTTCTCGAATATTGTTGGCTATGACAAACACACACACACACACACAAAATACATTTCATTATTTCATTGTCATCCAGTATATGAATATATCCAAAGATATGGTGCACGTATGTACTCATGTGTGTACCTGTATACATGAGTATATAGATGTGTATATATATGTATGTGTAAGAAAGCAATCCTTTTCTAAGCAGTATTTACCCTTTCTACATGTGATGTACTTTTGACATTTTGTATTCTATTAAAAAATACTATATGGGATTGACTGATATGATTTCATGATCCACTAATGGATAGTACTCTATATTTTGAAGAACATTGATTTAGGTCATTAGGACACCAAATTGCGAATCATTTTTCCATGGCTATAAGAAGTATCTGAAAAGTGTAAATCATCCCAGAATTGTATAAACCATTTCCAGGTTGTAAACGAATTATTCTGTAGATTAGTTCTGCATTACAATTGTGGATATGTAATTTTATGTTACTTTTTAGTTTCTGGTGTACTCGATGCTGATTTCTGTTTCTCCCACTCTTTACAGTGACAAAAATATGGATATTAATGAAGAACAACTGACTGGTTGTCTTCTGAGAAAACTAGGTGAGAGACATATTTTAAATAGTTTTTTAAATTGTGAGAAGCAAGATAGCAGTAAATAAAGTAATGTGTCTTTGAGGTCTTGTATAGATCATAGTTTTCTTCCACATAATGTGGAGGATGTTCTTCTCAATGAATTACTGTCTTTTTGAGATAGGAGTTTTTTCTTCCCAATTAATTGATTGGCAGTTGAGCAATGGAGAGAATACATGACTTGTCTATGGACAAAGTCAATGTTAGAACTGAGACTTTTAACCCTTGAGCTCTTGGTCTTTCCTATGAGAAATGTTACCTTGGAGTGTCAGGTATGTGTACCATTTTAGGTGAGTTTATTATTAGATATGGAATGCCTGGCTATGTGTTGACATAGTTGATAGAATCCTAGATGTATTGAGCGTAGAGGGTTTTAAAGAGTTAGCTTATCCTTCTGTCTCCAGATAGTGCTCTGTCAAATGGGAATATTAAGTTGTCTTTTTTACGGCAATTATTTTATTAATACACGTATCTTTGATTTAGTCTTTCAGTCAGATAGTTTTGTTAATAGATGGAATAAACTGCTATTTACACATTAAATGGGTAAGAGTTATGCTAACATATATTTTTTTAAAAATTATTTTCTAGATGGCAAAATTGTTTTACCAGGCAACTTTTTGTATTGTACATTCTATGGACGACCATGCAAGCTGGAAGTGTTGAGAGTGAAAGGGACAGATGGCATGCTATTGAGAAGACCTCAGGATGATACCAATGCCCAAGGAATGGCCTGCGAACAGCCCAGCACAGAAACTAGTACCCTGGATGTAGCCTTACAGCTAAGCCAGTTAGAACTGGAAGAGCCTCAAGATCCGACATCAAGCAGTACTCCTTGCAAACCAGTAGATGACAGAATGATAAATAAAGCTAGTGACATTTTGTTGGATGTTACACAGAGTCCTAGGGACAGCTGTGGACTTGAACTAGCAGAAGTCACAGGACTTAAATGTAGTTTTGAGTCGGCCAAAGAGGGAAATGAGCAACTTGTCAATGAAGAGAGATTGCTAAAGTCAGCCTATGTGGGAGCAAAGTGCCACACTGATATTTTTTATTTTATTTCTTCAACAACGAGAGTGAATTTTACAAAGATTTGTAAAAATTCAGAAGGGCAAGACAACCAATTCAAAGTAACTTATGACATGATAGGAGGCTTAAATAGTCAGCTGAAAACAATTAGAGAAATAATTGAATTGCCTCTCAAGCAGCCTGAACTTTTCAAGAGTTATGGTATGATTCCTTCAGTGTATTGCACCCAGACGTATTAACTTCTAAAAGCATTTGGCTCATTCCACTTATGTAATAATTGCTCACTTTCTTTTCTTGTTTTTCTTTCCTGAGTGGTAGGGATGGTAGGAGATGTTAGTTGCTTTGGGAGATGCCAGTTAAACTGTGAACCTTTTTCCATGCTTGATGTCTTTAGATTGTAATGCGAGTTAGCTACAGCCTTGTCTCTTCTAATTGCATACTTCCACAGTTGTTTGTAGTGGATCTAGAATTAGTATTTTGTCATTCTGGATCAGCTGTAATAGCCAAAGAAGTAGACCAAACATTCAAATATGTTGGATAAAACTTCTTTGTTAGGAAATGTAGCTGTGTGCAGATCTCCTTGCATTAAGCAAGTGGTTAAGGGAGCGATTGGCTCCTAAGAAACTCAGGGATTCCCTTCTGTGGTAACTGACCAGATCCTCTACATATATTTGGTGCCTTTTCCTTTTTCATGAGTCTCTCTCTATATGGAATGAATTCTTGGATCAACATTTTGCTAGTAATGTTTATATAGTCTAGGATGGTTAGTTGGATGAAAATTAAGATTGATGGCTTGTTTTAGATGCTCTTGTTCTTGTCTGAGCTTTGGTTCTGATCATTGAACTGTGCTGTGTGGGATGGGGCATGGCAGTTTTGTGGGTGTCCAGCCAGTTTTTCACCAGTTGGCCTGGCCTGGTTGGGTCTACAGAGAGAGAAAAAGTCATTTCTGGAGATCAGTGTTTGGGCCAATTAGTATATTTTGTGGGGAAGGGGCAAAGTCAAAAGGTCTGACTCTTACTTTTGTGATACAAGGTAAATTTACAACTCATGCTTGCAGTCATATGATAGAAACCTAGTAATGTTGAATACAATCTTCTTTTTCTTCTAGGAATTCCTCCACCTAGAGGAGTGTTACTCTATGGCCCTCCAGGTACTGGGAAGACCATGATTGCTAGGGCTGTTGCTAATGAAGTCGGAGCCTATGTTTCTGTGATTAATGGTCCTGAAATTATAAGCAAGTAGGTGCATAATTTAATAGAATAAATGGTTTTATTAAATACTTCTTAAATGTGTTTCAAAAAATGCATAGCATTCTCTCTGAATATTTCGTATGTTGAAATACTTTAAATTTGCTTTTAATTGTGTATAAAAATTAAGTTTGGAAAATAATTTTTGAAAGTAGTTTTAAGTATTCTGGAAATATTTGAAAAGTCGGATGAGCTTTTATAGACAAAACTTTAAAAACACTAAAAGTTGTTCCTTAAATGTATTTTATTTGTTACAGATTTTATGGGGAGACAGAAGCAAGGCTCCGTCAGATATTTGCTGAAGCCACTCTACGGTATTCTTTACATTTAATATTGGTAATTAGTAGTCAGGGGTATATCAATCAAAGTAGAGTTACTAACACTGTATGAGGCATGAAAGAACAGTACAAAAATAATACTGATACCACTAGAAATGATTGTGAATCTAATGAAGTTGTATTTAATGTATTTTTATCTAATATTGTTTTGAAAGTTTGATAAGTGAGTTACTGAATTACATACAGTAGAAGAATTAAAACATAGTAAATCATGTGATTTTGCTTGAGTATGTAAATTTATGATTTTCTTTCTTTAAAGTATCTAGGGTACTTAGATATATCCAGTTTATCTAGTTGCCTTAGTAGATTGTATTATAGTAGTTCTTTATGCTTAATTTTTTTTTTTATTATAGTTTGCTTCAAATTGATAAATATGTTTCTTTGGAAACAGTTCTATTCGATTATTTCTCAGTTTAGGCTACCTATTACACTGCAGTGAGTATAAGAGTATGGTCTATATGGTTTAATGTAATGTTATTCATAATAAGGCTGTCTTTACCACTGTTTTGGTATTTAACTTACTGTAATTCTACTCTCATCAAAAGAACTTTCATATTTAAAGTTTTTTTTTTTCCCCCAGAGAAGCAGATGTAATAAGTAGTTGGTTATCCCAATACTAAAAATTTGAGTACCAGTGGCATACTTTGTTATGTAGTATGTTTTTATTGTTATATTACTGGCTGTTGAAACTTTCTATTTTGAGGGAATTCACATCTCTTTATGGAAGAACTTATCAACTTGAGAGTTCTTCTTTAATAGGCTAAAAAAAAAAGAGTGCAAGCATTTGGAGTTTCTTTTTTTAATGTTTATTTATTTTTGTTTATTTTTGAGGCAGAGTGCGAGTGGGGGAGGGGTGGAGGGAGAGGGAGACGCAGAATCCAAGTAGGCTCCAGGCTCTGACCTGTCAGCACAGAGACCTATGCGGGGCTTGAACCCATGAACCATTAGATCATGACCTGAGCTGAAGTTGGATGCTCAACTTAGTGAGCCACCCAGGCACCCCGCCTCCCAGTCCCTTTCTTAAATGTTTATTGGAATTTCTGTTCCTTGGACTTTACACCTGCTCCAAGGGACATCTCTGCCCTCATCTTCTGAATTGTTGCAGTCATAACAATTTATTGGGCATTAATGGGCAACTTTTGTTTGGGTATAGACTCATGAACAGTAGACCATTCTCAATAGTCTGCTTTTTATTCAGTTCAGATCTGTTAGGATATGATATTGGTCAATTAATAATTTTGGCTACAATTAATCTAAGGTTTTTCAGTTTAACATCCCTATTGCCTTTGTCTTAATATTATTAAGTCCTAAATTTGATACATTACATTTCCTTTTATTAATTAAGTTTTTATTTTAATTCTAGTATAGTTTACAGTGTCATATTAGTTTCAGGTGTACAGTATAGTGACTCTGCAATTCCATACATCACCCATTGCTCCTCAGGATGATTGTCCTCCTTAATCCCCATCACCTATTTCACCCATCCCTCTGGTAACCATCAGTTTGTTCTCTAAGAGTCTGTCTTTTGGCTTGTCTCTCTCCCTCTATTTGTTTTCCTTTGCTCATTTGTCTTGTTTCTTAAATTCAACAGATAAGTGAAATAATATGGTATTTGCCTTTCTGTTACTAACTCATTTCACTTAGTATTATACTTCGTAGCTCCATCCATGTCATTGCAAATGGCAAGATTTCATTCTTTTTATGGCTGAATAATATTCCATTGTGTATTAATACCACGTCTTCCTTATCCACTCATTTATTGTTGGACACTTGAGCTGCTTCCATAATTTGGCTATGGTAAATAATGCTGCTATAACATAGGGGTGCAACCATCCTTTGAATGAGCATTTTTGTAGTTTTTGGTAAAAGTCCAGTAGTGTGATTGCTGGATTGTAGGGTAGTTCTGGTTTTAACTTTCTGAGGAACTTCCACAGTGACTGTACTATGTTGCATTCCTGCCAGCATGAGGCATGAGGGTTCCTTTTTCTCCACATCCACATCAGCACTTGTTCTTTCTGATGTTTTTGATTTTAGCCATTCTGACCAGCAGGGGTGATATCTCATTGTAGTTTTGAAATGCATTTCTCTGATGATAAGTGATGTTGAGCATCGTTTCATGTATTAGTTGGCTATCTGTATATCTTCTTTGGAGAAATGTATGTTCATGTCTTCTGCCCATTTTTAGTTGGATTATTTGTGTTTTGGGTGTTGAGGTGCATCAGTTCTTCTTCTATTTTAGATAATAACCCTTTGTAGAATATGTCATTGCAAATATCTTCTCCCATTTAGTAGCGTTGCCTTTTAGTTGTTGATTATTTTGTTTGCTGTGCGGAAGGTTTTTATTTTGATATATTCCCAATAGGTGTTTTTTGCTGTTTTTTTTTGTTTTGTTTTTTTGCCCCTTGACTCAGGAGACATATCTAGAAAAATGCTTCTCTGGCCAATGTCAGAGAAATTACTGCCTGTGCTCTCTTCTAGGAATTTTATGGTTTCAGTTCTCATATTTAGGTTTTTAACCCATTTTTGAATTTATTTTTGTGTATGGTGTAAGTTTCATTCTTTTGCATGTGCATTTCAGTTAAGAATTTAAAAGTACTCTGTTTCAGTCTTATAATTGGAATGCATTGTATCAAATTTAAAAATCAAATATATATTAAAGAACTCATTTTATGTGTTTGTCTTTAGGCACCCATCAATTATTTTTATTGATGAGCTGGATGCGCTTTGTCCTAAAAGAGAAGGAGCTCAGAATGAAGTGGAAAAAAGAGTGGTAGCGTCACTGTTAACACTGATGGATGGTATTGGTTCAGTAAGTATAGCACCAGTATTGATTCTGTGTAGAAAACGGTTGACTCTCAATAGTATATATGTAGTAGCAAAAACTATCAAATATGTCTGAGTTTTGGGGTATTCTAGGATAGGGAAAAATATTAGCCATAAAAACTAGAGGAGAGAGGCCTAAAATAATTTTCTTCAGCAGAAATCTTAGTAACTTCTAGAATAGTATACATGCTCTGTTTTTCTGGTATATAAAAGAATATACCATGATGGACTTCTTTTGTAATAAATGATATTAACTTAAAAACGAGAAACAAATTTCAGTAAGGAAGATGTAGATAGATTTTAGAGGATTTTATTGAGAAATTTCATGAGTAAGTCTTCAATACTTATGTATTGATTCTTTTGGGGCTTTAAGTTTGACAAGTGAAAGGAAAGAAAGAATAATGGAGAAATATGTTTGTGCAAAATTAAATCTTTTTTTATTTATTTTTATTTTTAAAAATTTTTAATTATTTTTTTTAATGTTTTATTTATTTCTAGGAGAGAGAGAGAGAGAGACAGCTTGAGCAGGGGAGGGCCAGAGAGAGAGGGAGTCACAGACTGAAACAGGCTCCAGGCTCTGAGCTGGCAGTCAGCACAGAGCCCGACGCGGGGCTCGAACCCACGAACCGTGAGATCATGATCTAAGCGAAAGTCGGACGCTTAACCAACTAAGCCACCCAGGCGCCCCTTAAATCTTTTTTTAATTAAAAAAATTTTTTGATGTTTTTTTATTTTTTGAGAGAGAAAGAGAGAGCAAGCTGGTAAGGTCAGAGAGAGGGAGAGAGAAATCCCACGCAGGCTCCACGCTTTCAACACAGAGCCAGATGCGGGGCTTGAACTTACGAATCATGAGATCATGACTTGAACTGAAACCAAGAGTCAGATGCTTAACCGACTGAGCCACCCAGGTACCCCTGTTTCTGGAAGGTTTAAAAAGGAGCTACCCATGTTACCAGATTCTCTGGTAGGGCATTCACTTGCATATTATAAAGACTATACTGCTTATGAAAGGAAGATCCATAGAGTAGAAGCAGGAATGAAGAAAAATTCTTTCAGACCCCTGACAGCCATTCACCAGAAGAATACATTTCTTATGCAGGATTGTAAATAACATGTTTTGTAGAGTCATAAAATGTTAGAAACAAAAGAAATTTTAGAAATCATGTAGTCCCAAGTCCTTTTGCACATTGAAAAACTGGTCTTTTAGAACTTTTTGTTTTTCACTAGCTGTTGGTAAAAACTAAACGTGAAGATAACGTGAAGGTTGGCTTTTAAGTCTCCATTATATGCTAACATGGGTTATAATTTTAACAGTAACATTAGAGAAGAGTTGAAACCTGGAGGAGGCTGGATGCCCACCTCGTTCTCAGTTTAGGTGCAGTAACAAGGTGTGACCATGTCCCAGGTTTGCTTTTGCATCTTTAAAATTGGAAAATTCTGTAATGTTACCATGTTGGAGCAGGTAGGGCTCTGAGGACTGACTTACAATAACAACACTCACGAGAGACATACATAAACTGGGATGCCAGTTTTGTCTATTTACAATAAGAATATAATTATTAAGCCAACCAAGTATCTTTGTTTATGGATGAATCTTTTCATCTTGAAGGCAAATATGTATGGAGAGCTGTATGATAATTAGAAGAGCTTTGAGGAATATGAAAACAGATAGAAGGCTTTGTGTTGGAGGATCTTAATTACTATGTCATTCTGCTTTCTCTGCTGTTGAAATAAGTCTGCTGTGGACTGGTGTTCTTTCCTGTGGGCAGGACTGGAAGCATCGGACACTGATGTTTTAGTGTGAAAATGCTTAAGGGCCTAGATTCATAATTCATAGATTTTATCGTAATCCATGCATTTCTGTTGGCACATCTAGTATAATTGAACAGGTTTGAGTTTTCTTACTTTGAATCATGTTTCAGTTAAGCTTGTATTACACTTGGGTCATCAGAATAGAATGTTGGATAATGTCCACAGGTGGCTGATCATTATGTTTTTTTATAATTTGTTGTTTTAAATTTCATTCCTGGGGCACCTGGGTGGCTCAGTCAGTTAAACGTCTGACTTTGGGTCAGATTAAGATCTTATGGTTCATAGGTTTGAGCCCTGTGTTGGGCTCTATGCTGACAGCTTAGAGCCTGGAGCCTGCTTCGGATTCTGTCTCCCTCTCTCTGCCCCTCCCCTGCTCGTTCTCTCTCTCTCTTTCTCTGAAAGATAAACATTAAGAAAAATTCATTCCCATGTGAAAAATCCATAAATTTCTAGGAATTTAAACATTTATCAAAATAAATAAGCATAGTCTGTATGTGAAGATTTCTTCGACAGCTGTATAATAAGTCTTGTTCTATTGTTCAAGACTGTGACCTTGTTCAAAGGTCATAGTCTTTGCTTTCTTTTATTTATTTATTTATTTTTGAGAGAGAGAGAGAGAGAGAGAGAGAGAATCTGAAATAGGCTCCAGGCTCGGAGCTGTCAGCACAGAGCCTGATGCGGGGCTCGAACTCACTTACCACGAGATCATGACCTGAGCTGAAGTTGGATGCTTAAATTACTGAGCCACCCAGGTGCCCCAGTAGTGTTTCCTTTCAAAGAACAATGGGAAGGAAAGGACAAATGAAGACAAATATGTGGTATGATATTATATTTTCTTATTCATGAAAATGGTGAAATTCAGATGCTAAAAGTGTGAGATATGTCACTTACTATAGTTGGAAAGGTAATTATTGAAAACTTTCTAGGTGAGGGAGTATTTAGGGTGAACTTAGATATGGGATGAGAAATAAAAGTGTAAAGAGTGGGACTTAAGCAGTCTGGACAGTTATATTCATCTGACCTATAAAGCCAGTGCCAATATATATTTATTACTTTTAAAAGTTATGAAATTTATTCTCATTTTGTTAGGAAAGAAGTGAAGGACAAGTGTTGGTCCTTGGGGCCACAAATCGCCCTCAGGCCTTAGATGCTGCACTGCGAAGACCTGGACGATTTGATAAAGAGATTGAGATTGGAGTTCCTAATGCTGAGGATCGGCTAGATATCCTCCAGAAACTTCTTCGAACAGCACCCCACTCGCTCACTGAAGCTGAGCTGCTACAGTTGGCAAATAGTGCTCATGGGTATGTTGGAGCGGACTTGAAAGCCTTGTGTAATGAAGCAGGTGAGAGTGCTTTGCTACTGTGAGTCTGTATTGATGGGCTTCATAAAGCTGGTTTACTTACATACTAATAATTTACATCTTATATCTAAATGGAAATAGGTTATTATTTCTAATCATAAAATATATATTGAAAACTAGATAAATCAGAAAACTATGAAAAAAATTATGCTTAATCTTACCTCCTAAAGGTAACCACTTTTATAGCATACATCGTTTTACACTTTTCCCAAGTACACACACACTTTAAGATGCTTTAATGGCATTAATATTTATTGATACTGTGCTGTGAAAATCAGGGAGAAGTGCTTACAGGAGGATCAAAATTTTCCTTATGGAGAAGCTTTGTAGTTCTTGAATTGTTGAAAAAGTACTTAGCAAAACCTAGGAATTCTATGCCTCAGTGTATGTGATGGTGATTTTTAAGTCTGAAAATGTGTCAGGGCTGTTATTAATCAGTTGGCTTTTTGACTTTAAGAACTTCAACATGCCATAACCGTAGTTACTTTGAAAGCCCTTAACTAAGACCTTTTAACATCTGTGTAATTTTACAGAGTAATTTTACCTGTGAAAAATGTATTCAAATCAGGTCAGTTTTTATAAGCTATTGAAATAAGAATTTATTGAGAAAATATGTAATAGTTTTTTATTGTTCTGTTTCTGTTTGTTTTTTGGTCTCAGGAAGATGTGTTTATTTTCTGATAACCTTGAAAAGCTGGGCATATAGCTCAGAGCATCTCTGGTTTGCCAGTAATCTTAGGTTCCTTAAATTTATTCCCATTTCTTGTGTGGGCATATGTTTCTAGGTCCTTTTATACTTTAGATGGAATTTTTTACTGCGTTGTTTTCTCTCATTCCAGTTTGTGACCGACCCAATGTTTTCAAGAGGTATTTTAAAGTTTAGCCAGTTTAGGTAATGAAAAAAATTGAATTTTTTAGTTGGAATTTTAGTTATTTTAGAGTTTTAGTATAGAAATATGGTAACTTTTACTTCCAAATTATTGATTCACAGTTAATCTAAGGTATTAGACTTTGAAGATCTTTCCATTAGTCCTTTTATCTTTCTAATCTGGCTCCATATATGCAGGGAAGAGAATATAGAACAAAACAAGCTGAAAAAGAAAACTTGGAAGAGTTATTTAGGGGTCTTTGTCTTACTTTTGGTGAAGAAAATCTGCTTTTATTCTATTTCATCCTTGTCAGAATTTCCATGATAGAGGACGCACAGTTGGGGGAGACTAAACATTCTTTTGGTACATTGGTCTAGGAAAGATCCCTTTCTACCTAGTTTCTTGTGCTTCACAAGAAATGGTGGATGTAGTCATGGAAATGAATTCCCTAGTGATCAAGATGCAGAAGTATCAATGGATAACTTTGCTTCCTTCAATTAGGTGATAATGAAGAGTTTGAATTAACAACGTAGGCATTTCTTTGGACTATCTAGAGGAGGATTCATTCTTCACTATCTTTTATCAGGCATTTTTTTTTACTTTCTAATACATTCATGCACTCTAGAAGACTCTGGGAACCTTGCTGTTCAGAAACACACAATCTGATGAAGGAAAGGGATTTGTGAATAACTACTTAACACAGTAAGATATGTACTTCTAAAACTTTGGAGGATGTAGTAACTTCTGTGGGGAAAGGAGTGCTGTGGTTATGTAAAAAAAAGTGATATCTAAGAAGAAGCTTAAAGAAAAAGAGTTCTACAGGCAGAATGAGGGGAATAAGAAGGTGGGAGAGGGTAAATAAAGATTCTTTCAACCAATTCTCACACCAGCCCTTCCACATAAGTATCAGATAGACTGAGGAAGGTCTTGCAGCTGGTATGTGGTAGAGTTAGGATTTAAACTTAAGGTCATTTTATTACCAATCTAGGTTCTGCATCAAAATTAAATCACAAAACACACATTTTTGTCAGAGTGGTATAAGGCTTTTTGACTTAATTTTTTATTTCACAGGTAAGAATAGTCCAGAAATTGAGTTATGTCCTGAGACATTAAGGGGTATTGTGATAATGTAATTTACATACTAGATGTAAAGAAGACCATCTGCTTTCATAGACACTGTAGTACCCCCAAGAACTTTAGGAAAATGACAAGAAGATTTGAGAGATCTAATGTTACATTTAAATGAAATGTAAGTTTCATACATTTAAATGAAAAAGTTGTGAAAGGATCAGAAGGTGGGATGGAGAGGGGCCTCCAACCTGAAGTTGTGTATGTATGTATGTGGGATATACGTGCACATACAAACAGTAAATAAATATTAACTTCTCTTAATGTGACATAATAGTAATTTCAAATTTTAAGTATTGATCTTTTTCCCCCCAGTCTAGCAATGAATTAGTTTATGAGAAAGTAAATTTAAAAAAGATCAGCATTATAATTAAAGTGTAGGGAAAATATTTAGTTTTGTGTATACTGTCTTAAATACTAGTGTATGTTGTGTTATGTAGTGTCATTCTCTACATAGCAGAATCAGGTTTAAGATCAGTGTACTAGAATTTTTTTGCAATGCATTTTTCTAAAATGGCAGGGGCTATAGTAGAACATGGATTTGAGAGTTGGACAGACTTCGGTCAAGTTCTTTGCCTTATCTGAGTCTTAGTTTTCCCCATTTGTAGATTGAGGGGGTTATGGTAGATGGTATCTAAGTGCCCTGTAAATATGACATTCCCTAGGTAAAAGGGAGAACAGGAAAGAAATGGGAAAACAGAATGAAAGGATAGGAAGGATTAGAAAAAGGAAGGGGGAAAATAACAAAGAAATATCCAAGTCACTAACTGTGGCCTAGCCTCATTAGCTACTTTGTTCATATATCTGGCCTTTCTGTCCTTCATTGTTTTCTCTTCTGTACCTGTTTGTCTGAATAACTGAAACTTAAGTGATTACTTGGGGCTTTCTCTCATAGCATTCTTGGAAATAACAAAAGCCAGCTTAGGTCAGTTGTGAAGTTAAGTGCATTTTGTCATTGAAACAATTTTGTAATTTCTGACTACAGATTTGACATGAGTAAATTATAAATTTGGCTAATAGTGCAACTCAGAAGGAAAGATAAAACAACTCTAAAACTCAGTAAGGATTAAAAATAGTAGAATTACACTCCAAGTGCTATTGAACGGCATAAATGTATCCCACAAATTAGACACCCAGGGGTATTTCCATATATTACAATGTGTGTATTGAGCATAGGAAGGATAAATTCAGCTATGTGGTAAATTTGAACTACTCTCCTAGTTATCGATAAAAAGAATTGAGCACTTAATGTTGCATCCTACCTAACTTTAGAGAGATTATTAGGAGGGAATAATTTGAATGGGTTTTTAGTCTTTTATTTATTTTTGAGAGAGAGAGAGAGAGAGAGAGAGAGACAGCATGAGCAGGGAAGGGTCAAAGAGAGAGGGAGACACAGAATCCAAAGACAGGCTCCAGGCTCTGAGCTGTCAGCACAGAGCCCGACGCGGGGCTCGAACACATGAATCATGAGATCATGACCTGAGCTGAAGTTGGACGCTTAAGCAACTGAGCCACCCAGGCGCCTCTGTTTTTAGTCTTTTAAAATAACTGCCTAGGGAAGTTTGAACTGGTTCTTTTTTTTCTTTTTTTTTTAAACACGTAGTTTAAAAAAACAGAAGCAATTACAATCATTACATTGATCTTAGAATTATACACAAAGTTAGAATCGCTGATCTTATTAAAAAAGTTTTTTTTTGATGTTTATTTTTGAGAGACAGAGAGCATGAGTGGGAAAGAGGCAGGGAGAGAGAGAGACATAGAATTTGAAGCAGGCTCCAGGCTCTGAGCTGTCAGCACAGAGCCTGACGCAGGGCTTGAACTCATGAATTGTGAGATTTTGGCCTGAGCCGAAGTCAGACGCCCAACTGACTAGGCCACCTAGGCACCCCCTAGAATCACTGTTTTTCAAAAAAAGAATCATGATAATACCTTAATATTTGGAGGTAGTGTTAATGATTTCTGGTACATAGTAAGTGCTCAATAAGTATTTGATCTGACAAGTGTATATGAAAGCTGGGAGACTTAATGAGAGTTAAGTACCACCCCACTCCCCTTGGAGAGCAATAAAAATGTTTATTAACCTGAGAGTTGAATCAGTTTTCTTTTTAAACTCCTGTGAGATTCATCTCCCCCTCTCCTCTGTTAACTTCAGAAATCCGTGTCTGTGCTGAGGAAACAACTCCCTGTGGTTATTGCTACTTTTATAGGTAGCAGTAAACAAGGTGTAAGTGTTCTGTGAATCCTTAAATTAGTGCTGCTATTTTCTTGAAAATTTCAGTCCATTTTTGGCTTCCTACTGACAGGCTTTCTCAGCTGTGGCCCTGGCTATGGACTTTGTATTTTATTTAAAACCTGTGCTGTTCAGGAAGCATTTTCATTGTTCACCAGTTGTACTATGCTTAAATGGACAGCTTGAGAATGTTCACTGGCATAACTAGAAAGTAAGGCACTTTAACTTCCAGATTTGTGAGAACAGTGAGAAAGTCTAGCTTCAGGAAATGTATTCATAAGTACATAGTTAATTCTGTCTCTTTCTATTACTTATTCTTTTCCATGAAATCACATTCATTTCATATGTCCCCACTTCAGGACGGATCACTTGGAGCAGAGTTTCTCAGATTTTATTATGTATCAGAATCACCTGGAGACTTAGTAAACTATTGCTGGGTGTGCTCTACTCCCAGAGTTTCTGATTCAGTCTTGGCCAGTGCCAGTAAATTCTCACAAGTTCCCAGCAGATGCTCTTGGTCTGGGGAACACATTTGAAAGCTGCTGACTTAGGACAGGTTCTTAAGCCTCATGCATCAGGTTCACCTGGGAAGCTACACACACATTCCCTCTCCATATTTAATTAAGGAAAATAGAGAACTGGAGCCAGTATTTATGTTTCCCAACTGAGTTTGAAGCAGCCAGTTTTGCAGTTGCCTGTGAGAAGTATTCTGAATCATTTAGGCCAGTGGTTCTCCAGTTTAAACCTTTGTAAGA